AACCGTATCCTGGGCTGCATCCAAAGAAGCGTGGCCAGCAGGTCGAGGGAGGTGATTCTGCCCCTCTACTCCACTCTGGTGAGACCCCACCTGGAGTACTGCATCCAGCTCTGGAGTCCTCAGCAGAAGAAAGACACGGACCTGTTGGAGCGGGTCCAGAAGAGGGCCACGAAGATGATCAGGGGGATGGAACACTTCTCCTATGAAGAAAGGCTGAAAGAGTTGGGGTTGTTCAGCCTGGAGAGAAGGCGGCTCTGGGGAGACCTTATTGCAGCCTATCAGTACTTAAAGGGGGCTTATAAAAGAGATGGCGGCAAACTTTTTAGCAGGGCCTGTTGTGACAAGACAAGAGGGAATGGCTTTAAACTAAAGTGGAGTAGATTAAGACTAGCTAGAAGGAAGAAGTTTTTTACGCTGAGGGTAGTAAAGCACTGGCACAGGTTGCCCAGAGAGGTGGTGGATGCCCCATCCCTGGAAACATTCAAGGTCAGGTTGGACGGGGCTCTGAGCAACCTGATCTAGTTGAAGCTGTCCCTGCCCACGGCCGGGGGGTTGGACCAGATGACCTTTAGAGGTCCCTTCCAACCCAAACTATTCTATGATCCTATGATTCTATGATATAAAGGTAGGAGGCCCATGTTATTACTAGCTATACAACTAGGTTGTTTTGAATTCTGTTAGAGGAAAGAATTAAAAAAAAAAGTATAAACAAACTTTGGAGACAAAGAAAAAATTGAAGCCTTTGTTTTGAAAATATGTGCAAATCATTTTAGTTCTTTGCCTTTGTCTTCCATTTTCTCTAGTGCCTGAAAGAAAATTATCTACCCTTGACTTAAGTATCTATTATATGGAATTAACTTCATCTGTATTGTCTCCTTCTCCCACGTTTGCTAAAAGGGCAGCTGATAGGCCACTTCTTCCATACTGTTAAATGGCTTTTGGTCCTTTTGAGATGGATGAAGTTAGCAGGAGAGTGTAAAATGGACAATATACTGCCTACTCTTTAACCAAAGAGAAACTGTGTTTCTTACTACAAAAAAATCATGTTAATGCAACCTGTTAGGACTTATCCCTCTTAAATTACAGCTGCAAAAACAAACATCACAGTCATATTTTACTATTATACTGAAATGAGATCTGAAGTGTTACTTTTTTGGTCAGAAATATTAATTTAGTTGTGACAAGAAGAACTTTGACAATCAAAGGGCAAGTGAAACTGGTTTGCTAAAAGTACTCTCTGGGAAAAACAAACAAACCTCTAATAAAATAGTGGAAACAATAGTCAGACTAACTTATTTGTTACATTGCTGTATTTCAGCAAATACCTCAACAACAAAAGAATTAGTAGTAAAAGAGACTTGGTATCACATAGAAGGCTTTTCTTCAAATAATTGTCTCCTCAAGCATTGTCTATGCCATTTCTGTAAGTTCAGAACTGTTAAAATGGGATATTAACAATGCCTTCTGCTCAGTCAAATACACCAATTTCTTTTTCTTTTCCAAGATCAACATCTTTCCCCTATTCTGTGTAAGTACAGGCATTACTTATTTTCCCCTCAGTATAAATTAATATATCCTTTAATGAAGTCTTACCTAAAATTCTCTGGACTAACCCTTTTATTTCTCAGACTTGCATACATCTAGTCTACCAAGACTCTTCATTTAAAATCATAACTCTACCCACTGTAAAGATCATATTGCTCCTTTATCTACTCACCACCATGCTTGCTTGTTTGTTTTTCAGTGTCAAGTTCTCACTGAGCCAAGCAAATAGCAAACGCACATTGGAATTTAGCATTATGCATAGCTTATATCAGCTTAACATTGAGAAGAGGTACCCTGCACTCACCTGTTTCTCTCTTCAATATTAGGCATTTGTTTTGTCCTAATGCACGTGAAAGGTATTTATCATGTACAATAAAGATGCTAATGTCAGACAGCTGACTCCTGCAGTGTCAGAAGGACAGGGGGAATGGAGAATGAGTAGATTTCAATCACCTGAATTTCAACAAGCATCAACTTAAAGAAAATCCCAGATCTCATTTATTTCTAGGAACTAGCAACTGCTTTTTCCATCTGTATAGGACACTTAAAGTAAGGTCCAGCAACCCAACCTGTATAAATTCCTAATGTTAGCCTGAAGGTTTTCTCTACTCACCAAGGCATCACTAAGTTGCAATGAAAAATTTCATGGATGTCTGGCTAGTCTACCAAGCTTACATCTGAAAAGGAAATGGATCAAACCTTGATCACCGTAAGAGACAGATTCCTTGTAATGGTTACCAAACACTTTCACAGAAGAAAAAGACTTTGGAAAAAGCTCAGACAAGCTTACAAATGGAGTGTAGGAATAATGACGGCACAGTCAATTGCCTCCCCTGCTCTCTACAAACCAAATCAACACAAAGAAGGGGACCAAGGAAAGTCCATCTCCTGTGTGCAATAAATGTTCTCCTGAACTTGAACACCACTTCAAGAGGCTGTCAGAGTTGTTGACTTCTGTACAAAGACCTGTAATGGTGATTCAAACATTTAAATAACTCAATTGGTGCAGACATCTCCATCCTTTTTTTTTTTCTGTTTTCCTTTTCCATCCCCTCAGTTTTCTTGCCATATGGCTATGAATGCCTATTTGCTAAAAGCTTATGAACCTACTTTCTTTGTGTGGGTCAATGCTCTAAACCAGGACTTCTGGGCTTCACTCAAAAGTAACCCAATGAATGCAAATCATGAAAACTTGCAAATCTGCATTCCAAACTACTTTGGAGTGATTTTAAATCTGTTTCTAGTGCTCTTTTTCTGTTAATTACTTTACCACTGTGATGATACTTACTTAAAGGAATTAACAGAATAGCAGGCTCTTCTGAGAGTTATTTCTGTGTATTGCTAGCACATTTGGTCTTCCTTTAAGAAAGCTTATTTCTCTCATCCGTTGACAGATTTCTTTGTTACTAACACACTTAAATGTAACCAGGGATCCCGTGGAGATCTAGGGAACACCATGTTTTTGAACTTGTAAGATAAACTGCTGTAAGGCTTTATTTTCAGATATTTTCTCATTTTTGTTGTTTTTGATTTTTATTCAGATTTAACATCTAGCTGTTATCTGAACACTTACTCTTTTCTTAAGATAAACATTAGTAAAGACTGTATAAAGAAATAAAAATATTTATAAGTATATATGGCCAAGGGTAAAAGTCTTTCCTACAGTAAGGCAGATTTTTAAAATGGTTGGTACCATGATATGGTAATTCCCATTTGTAAACATATTTTACATTATTCAAGATAATGAAGAAATGGTGCTTGCACAAGGTTTATTAAAACTTAATTCTATTTCTTTTTTGCTCAACATTTCCTTCACTAAAGCAAAGATTTCCTTATACATTATGTATTCAGGATTTCTGATAATGCATTAAATTGTGTGCATACATTCTATGACTATATGTAACGTATGGTTTTTAGAAACCAATAGAATTATATATATAGAAATAGATTTTCTTCTTAAAATGAATAGAACGAGACTTCATAATATCTGAAAGAACACTGGTAATTCAACAAGTTACTGCAGAGGATGGTTAGGCTCCATAGCCTCTTTAAAAACAAACAAACAAACAAACAAAAGATTAAGGGAATTTTCTCTAAAAATAAATTGCATATGTTGTTATTGTAAACTTCATATTACTGTTACACACTTATCTGAAAAAATGTTAATCTAAACATAATTAAATATTCTCCTTAAGTAGCTTAACGTGTAGGTTTTTTGTGTTTTTCTTTTAAAGAAAACCATCATCATTATCAGAACCATGTTGAAAATGCTATTGAACAAATGACGTGATACAAAATGTCTCACAGGTTATGTAAAGAACTCAAAGAATAAATGTTTTTAAAAACACATCATCTGGTAAAAATCACCTTCATGACACACACGCCAGACAGCATTCCCCCCCCCCCCCCCCCCCCCCCCAAAAATGAAAAGTGGTAGACACTAAATATCTCCAGCTGCTGGTAAAACAATTTCCTTATTTTCCTTGCAACATTAGAATAGCTCCATCGTGCATTCCTTTTCTAGCCACTCAGTTGCCTTATTCTTTCTTTTTGACTCTTTCTATTGTGTCTGAGTAGCAAGACCATTTTTATAGATATTCAGAGAGGAACACTGCTTCATCTGTTCAACTAACTGCAATAACCAATTGTTTCAAAACTTTGAAAAATTAGTAGCGACTCTTCTCTGTACTTTCTATGTACAAATTCTAATTTGCATAATTTCACATCTAGTGAAAATCTAGTATAAGGCTGTGAGAATATGAAAGTCCCTAGATGATCTTTTTGACTGCAAAGGACTGGAAACAATATCTCAGTACAAACCATTTTAAAGATGCAGAAAGAAGCTGAACACCTGTTTCGGAAAGCAGGAAGCAGAATCTAGTCCAATTTATGGTAATAAAGCTTGATGCATCAGAAGGTTAAATACCTTTGGAAGATACCTGGCACCCAGCCTCTATTATCACGTTAAGCCAGATGTGATTCTAGAAGATGTATGTCTCTAAAAATGCTGAAATTTCACCTTCTGTTTTCCTTGATGCAACTACTTTACATGAAATAACAATTTTTTACAGAAAAAAGTTAATTAAATGAAACCATTTAATAAAATCCATATAAAATTAAATCTGAATGTGAAAAAGAAACGTTTTACTTTAGGATAGTGATTGTAAGAGTTAAACCAGAATCAAAAGCAGGAACACATGACTTATGCATCCAGTCCTACCCATCTTATAAATTTTAGATTTTGCTACAAATGACCTAAATTTATACAAAAAGCAATTTAAAATGTTCAAGACATTCAATAGTAATTTCTACTTAAGCACGAAACACTTCAGGGAAGGGAATACCAGAAAAAAGAAGAAAAAGGGAAGACATTTTTCTTTGGCACAAAAGTCTCGTTATTAAGAGCCTTGCTTCATATCTGGTTAATTAAAATGCAGTATATTAAAATATAGTACCTTATAACACATGCATAGAGTCCACTGTCTTGTACCACTGTCGGTCGGAACCAAATGGAGTCTTCTTCTTTGCTCATTCTTGTTCCATCAAAAGCTATAGGTTCCTCAAAATCTCCAGGTCCAGAGCTTTTGTACCACATCAAACTAAGTCCAGCACTTTGGGCTAGGGAGTAATTAGCTCTAATATATCCATAAAAGAGTGCACATTTTATACGAACAGGTTCTCCCACTAGAACTTGATATTTCTTGTAATCCACAGACCAGTCAGTGCATCCATCAGCTAAAAGAGAAGAGAAAATGACAAGAGATTATCAAAGGTGTCAGAGAGCAATATTCACACAGCAACCTTTATTGTGGGAAAGCATTGCATTTGAGAAAAGGTCCATTGAGTCACTAGCAGTACTCTTGATCCCTGAAAAATTATCTGCATTTTCACACCGTTAATGTCATGTACTTGTCCATGCAGAACAGAGTTATTACAAGATTTTGTGTTAAATGATAATTTCTGAGATAACTGAGCAATTGCTCTTTTTTCTTTTGTGGAACTCCAGCATGACTAGTTATAAAATACTGGAGTGAAATTAGTGCAACACAGAGGCCATATGGTACCCAGGGTGTCATAATCTGTGAATTGCATCAATCAAATACCTTCAGGGTAACAATGTAAATGAAAGAAGGTATTAATTACTCAGTCTCAGAAGACATTAGGACAAGGAGCTGTGGCCTGAAACAAAATGTGCGGAAGTTTGGGTTAGATTTGAAGGAGGAGAAAAAACTACCTTAACAGTAAGAGCAATAAGAACAAATGTCCAAAAAGATACTGCCAAGAAAATGACTGTCAGTATTTATAATGGATTATTCAAGAACAAGTTAAGCAGATATTACTTTGAATTCCTGACTTTCTAGAAGTGCATTACAAATTAATTTAAATTATTAATGTCTTTATTTTTTCCTTTCTGGATTAGCAATAATTCTAGAATAATTTTCATATTCTTCACCTGTTGAATACTGTCAGTCACTATCAATACTGTCCTACAATAACTGTTCATCAGAAAGCAATACTAGATTTGTTTGTCTTTCTGAACCCCAACAACAAAATCAAACAACAAAACCAAAAATACACCCAACCTCCCTCCCTCTTCCCCATTACTTGTAGTTAAGAATACCAAAACTACAAAAGAACAACAGGTAATTTCTACAATGACTTCCTTAACAAAAGCTTATGGTTTTTTTCTTAAGGAATTTCAACCATGGAAATTCACCATTAGGTTCATTCACTTAAAAACCCAGTTTCCAGCCTCAGCTAGTTAATCAGGTCCCCGATCCAGTCAGTAGAAAGCAATCAGTACATCCAAAGGACAACTTATTTCATCTTAAAATGAGTATCTATGACTTGTATCAATATTTGGTCTTTGAATTTGCCACTTCTTTTTATTAACTTTAAAAGAGCTTGGACAGCTAGCTAGCTAGCTTAGAAAATCAACTTTCACAAAGTTAAAGTCACATCAAATGCCTCTCACCCTAGAGTTGGTTGAATACTGACTTTAATGGAGAATTCAAGCTACTGTGCAAGGTAAAGCAGTATCAGCACTTTAAACATATACAATGTTTTCATCTCTTATTTGGGAGAATAGCGTGCCAGTTAATGATTTTTGAGATTTACATTTTTTGGCGCTAACCACATCAATATGTCCCACCAGGTAGCTTAAGAGACTATCAACTCAATCAAATATGAATACAGGCATGCTCATAATATTACGGATTTGTATTTTATGTTTTATCTAGTGGTGTACCCTAGGGGTCAATACTGGGCCCAGTCCTGTTTAACACCTTCAGTAATGATCTGGATGATGGGGCAGTTAACCTTCAGCAAGTTTGCTGATGACACAAAACTAAAAGGAGTGGCTGATACACCAGAGAGTCATGCTGCCATCCAGAGGGTCCTCAACAGGCTGGAGAAATGGGCTGACAGGAACCTCATGAAGTTCAACAAGGAGAAGTGTAAAGTCCTGCATCAGGGGAGGAACAACCCCATGCACCAAGATGTGCTGGGGGACACGCAGCTGGAAAGCAGCTTGGCAGAAAAGGACCTGTGACTGAGCTTGGCACAAGTTTCCTGGGGAGGTTGTGGAGTCTCCATCCTTGGACACATTCAAAAGCCAGCTAGACGTGGTGCTGGACAACTGTTTCTAGATGGCCATGCTTGAGCAGGGGTTTGGACCGGATGACCTCCAGAGGTCCCTTCCAACGTCAACCATTCTATAATTCTGTGATTTATTACAGTTACATTCAGTGATAATCTTAAGAAAACGTGTCCTCTTTTCAATGTGGTCTTTCAATGAAGTGAACATGACAGTGTTTCTCTTCCTGCTTACAGAAATATTATACCAGTTAAACTCTGCCAACATTGACTCAGAGCTGTATTAACCTTATTACAGCTGGAAGCTCTAATACCTTAAAAATCTTCCAGGAAATACCTCACACTACGGCTCAGCCAATGTGCCTTCATCTATGAGAAGGTGCTAATGCAATTTTGACAGATATAATAGAAGTTCATCATTCTCATCACAAGACACACCTGTGATATTTTGTGATAACAGTGATATTTCAGGAAATAACTGTCTATCTGTGCTTAAAATGCTCCTATTCCACTGTAACTGAGGAGTATAAACAGAGGTTTAAAACCAAAGAATGGAAAGAAAAATAGACTGCCATCTCCTTAAAAATGAGATTACTGTGAACATTCAGACAGATGATAGCATGCATGCACCATAACTGGCACTTCCTATGTACACTCTGCATGTGGTGTATAGAGCACATGTGCATTTTTCAGCCTAGGAAAACTTGGATGTATCAGAAACCTAATTAAAATCCTGATTTCCAAATTCCTTGAAGCATGTAAAGATATATTTTCAAAGACCCAAAGACTAACTATATTCATGATGCCTTTTACATTCATAGAAATCTTTATATTTTTATATTGACATTGGCACCTTAAAAATGTTACATATTTGCATGTTAAACACTTATGTTACTGCCTTCATAAATAGGGACAGAGAAGAGCAAAGGCTTAATGTTCATTCAGACTTGTTAGTATTAAATAGATGGAAGGATTTCTTTTCAGTTTTGTATTCTAACTGTGGTCCATTTTGACTGGATTTTCTTTCTTTTCTTTGTGTATAAATAGGGCACTGACCAAAGAAAATATCTAGTGTTTCTCTTCTTAGTTATGGCTGCTACCGACACACAATCAACACCTCCATTTATGCTGGTTCAAAACAACTGTGGGAAAAAAAAATACACTCAAGACTTTTCAATGTTTTTATTTCTATCATCACATCATCAAGCAGTCAGTCATCCTTTATTTTATTTTATAAATTGGAAAATACTTGAATAATTCAACAGCTTTGAAATTTCAGAACTGCCTTCAAATGAATGGTTGTAGTCTCTGATCTCTATTTTAATATGCTGCCAGTTATTGCTACACATAATAGCACAATACAGGGTCCAGGATGAATACCATTCACTCAGTTATTTCCTTGAGTGATTTCAGGGGATGAAATAAACCACACTACATCACTGTCCTCATAATGAGATCGTTCTGCTGGATAAACAAGCTTCTTGCAGGCTGTACCTGCTGATATGACCCAGCACACAGCATATTTAACATTACTGAGGAGGTCTTCCCCTTCATTTTTCAGGATCATATGTATCATTTTCAAGGCAAAATTCAGTGCTGAAAAGGAGAAAAAAAAAAAGCTAATAACTCCTGGGCCCACTGCTACAGCTTGGCATCATTCAAAAGCTTCAATTCAATTTATAGGTTTCAGAGTTAGTAGAGGTCTTCAAGTTTCCAGTGCATTGGTGGAAAACTGAATTCCGGACATCTAAACAATTTAGGTCTGACAGTTGAAAACAGTTCTCCTAAAACTTTTATAACAGTAACAGTAAATTCTCCTAAATTTATTGCACTTAATATTGTTTAATAAAATAAAAATTAACAGATTTTTTTTTTCCTGCTTATCTGTGTTTGTAGTTCTGTTCTTAATGTAATTTCCTACAGAGAGGTTTATGCAATGTCACTGTGCCTTCTATTTATTTGTCAGCCACTTCAGGGTTTTTGAACACATTAGGCATTTGCAACCAAATCTGACAAAGAAGTGATCTCATAAATTGTGAAAAATGGGTACATAAGGGAGAAAGCACCAGGTCCTGTTCCTAAAGCGGGGAACTTGTCAAGGAGGGCATTAGTGGATGCAGAAATAAGATGGTAATATGAAGGTAGAGTAAATATGATGGGTAGAGAAAGTGAACAAAGGATATTGTAGCAGTGTGGCTACGATTTTTGCGTGGCGTGGAGAAGTATGGGGCATAATCTGTCAAGAAAACAGGCTTCCCTTAACTGGCTCTTCATAAAACAACTTTTGAAAAGATTATGAAGTGATGCATAAGACTCAAGATTACTTCCTTTAAAACAATTTTCACAACAACATTTTAACATCAGAATCACAGTCTGTTCTAGATTCTCTCTTTTTACCCTAGTTGTTGCTTTTTGCTTTTTGCTTAGATTAGCTAGCATTAGAAAAAGAAAAAAAAAACAAATCAATGTTTTATACTTTATAGCATATTCATTAGAGTGCCTGAGCCAATTAGCTCTATACAACATAACACATGGTATTCTAATGTGTGTTTTCATTATGAAGAAATGCAAAGATTGTCTATTTTTGGTTTGTGTATCTTTTTATTTGCTATAAAAATGAACTCCGACAGGAATGAAGAAGCAGAGCTTGGAAATGCAACACATTATGGAGATGAGAAAGAGAACATGGTCAGTTCTATTCTTAGACCACTTAGATTTTGTACTTTCAAAAAAGTACCAGTATAAAATTGGGAACATGAAAAAAACATGGATTTATCATTAGTACTAATGTTTTCAAATGACCACGTCAAGTATATTTTATACATGATTAAATTTCCTTTTGCACTAAGACTGCTATTACAGCTTTTCACATTACTATGCTGCACTTCTGTTTGAGATACCATTTTCATTTTGAAATCCCATTTTTCATTCTCTTGAAAATTCTTGCAAAAATTACGTTGCAGGCTAAAAACTTACATATTTTGTTCTCAGTCTAAGTGTGTAGTGGCTGGTATGAGGGGGTGCCAGTAAGGGAGAAAGAAGGTGTTGAAGGACATTTGAGGGAGACAGAAAAATTATTTTGGATACCATCATCTACTAAAGAAGTTAGCTCCTAAAAATTGCAATTGTCCCAGACCCAC